CAAAATAACAGTGGACAGGGAGGAGGAGTAGAAGAGCAAATGACAGGGGCAGAAAATGGATCAGGCAGAGGAGATTATAATATGGAGCACAGCCATGCATAGCGACAGAAAATACCCCTCTTCAGTCATTATAGAGATAGGAGATGTCCTTACCTGGGGTAGGTGGAACAGACTTGGCAGGACGTCCAAAGCAGGAGAGAAAGGAAGGAGCTGAAGAGAGTGCCCAATGGGATGCATGGAGGACTGGGAGAGAAGGGAGCTGGAGAGATTGGCCCTTCTATCAGGAGGAAAAGGGGGCAGCATTTCCAGCACGTGTGTATGCATTTTGTATACATTTTCCACCTGAAACACATGGACACAAATGAAGGAGCAGATGGCTTTTCCTGCTATCAGTTCGAATCTCAGGGGCCAAATCAGAAAACAACTGAGAAACAACAAAGCCAGTCTTGAACTTTTTTTTTTGTCTGGCTGGCTCATGATGCTTGAGCTGAAGGGTTTGGTGATACTACTCTAGAAACCCTAATAGTAAAGTTTTTGTTATAACTTTCTCTACACAGCTACTTCTTACTTGCCTAAACATTTACATTTAGGCTAATCTAGTCTGTGTTTGGTCTCTGCCTAAAGATGAAAATGATGAGTTTAAACAACTTTTCTACAGCTGCCTGAGTTAAAAGAAACAAAGAGCAATTTCCCACATTTTCAACCAGAGCCGCAGCATAAAAAGCCTAGTCTGACACTTTATAAATTTAGTAAGATGTAATAATAGAGCCCTAGTGCTTTTGCTTAGGTTGAGGACAAAGAAAAACATAATTAAAAAAATTCTAAGCATGTGTATAGGCAGCTGGTAAGATTTTATTAGAGCCTCAAGAAGCCAGGTACTCTTTGTGACATCACATTACTTCCTTCCCACCTAGCCAAAGCATCTCAGGCTGATGCTTTACATAAAGGAACTATAAACGTCCCTTTCAAATAACAAGAGACAAATCCTCAAAGCCAAGCCTCACCCCACCAAAAAACATACACCAGAACAGACAAACTCTGTACTGATACCACAAACAAAAAAAGCACGGGGGGAGGGGGCAGTTAAGTCCAGGCAGTGTTATTTTTTTGTCCTCAGTAATTGCTGCATTGCACAACATTTAAGATAGTCTAGGCTTATTTAAATATAATTAGTTTACAATGTTGCAACTATCAGAGCATAAAAAGATACACTGTGCAATTGGTCCACTGAAAACCCTCTGCCCAGACAGCAGCAGCATTAAAAGTAGGAGGCGATTTTATTAATCTAAGTGAAGTATAAATTTCAAAATATAAATGTTAGACATACTAGCCTTGAGCATTTTCCTCTTTCCATCTTTTTTAAACCAAAAGGGGAAGGGGAAAAAAGACAAAAAATTAAAATGGCCAGCATGGCCTCAATTCAGCCAAACACTTCAGCACACAATTATCTTACCTTTCAGTATTGAAGTCAGTTATGCACCCAAAACTAATTAACACTTTCCAAAAAACTGTGATGGTTGCCTTTCCTTATACCAAAAATTGAAATAGGAAAAAATGTTACTCTCTCACTAGAGAATTGTAAATTCACTCATACTTGTGAGGCTGAGACAGCAATGTGTTAACTACTATAGAAAAACACATAAGGAAATAATCTTGAATTCAGCATAGAGTTTAGAAGATATGCACCAACTGAATGATGAGAGCAGAAAGCTGTCTTTTTCTGTATCATCCAGAATGTACACTAAATGAGGTAGAGATCTCATGGGGGAAAAATATCATAATCTAATTACAAACCATACACACAAATTAAGATGTGAACATATAACAGCTGAATTAAGGCTGTTTTGTACACTTCCAAGCATTTAAATATTTGACTTTATGACTTTTTCACCATAGCAATGGTCTAGGCATATTTTGCACAGTGTGATAATGATTATGGGACTGTGGTATATGCATGTTGGACTAGTAGTAAGGAAAATATATAGCAGAATTGTTTTCAGAGGCCTTCTTCAAAATCAGAGTTTCACGTACAATTTTTAAAATTGTAATTAACTGGTTTCAAAATATATTCTTCTCTTTCTGAACCAGTTCAGGGCTCAGATACATAGATAGACTGAAGAGCTAGCACCCAATACCAAATTTGACTTGGCCCCACAGAAAGACAGAAATGTGCTGGGATCTCCAGAACTCTGCTGCATTGATAATAGTGATGATATAGAATACATTGTGCAAAGGGAACATACATAGGGGGAGCTCTGAGTTGCCATACTGGAAGGAGTAGCAAGAGGGTCTGCAGTTACGTGGATCCAAACTCTAAGGCTCATGTGCAGGAAAACACCGAAAATAAGTCACTAATATTACTCTGTTACCTGGAGTAAAAAGCAGAGAAACAGCTCCAAAGCCATGGAGTTGGATGGAGGATTCTCCCTCCCACCCCACCTCCTTTGTGCTAATCCTGTTTACTTCAACACTGTACAATAAACATTATTTCATCCTAAAATAAGCTAAAACTGGCCCCATTTAACTCCCTTGGATGTTGATGCTGAAGTCTAATGAGTTAATTTTTAATGAGAACTTTATTTAATTATCTGAATATTTTAACAGGCATATCCAGCTACTCCAGGATTGTGGATGGAGTATGGGATTTTGAGGGTAGAGATGTCCATAAAATTCCAGCAACTTTTCCTTTCTTTTGCAAAGTTTGGAGATAAAAGAATACATATCAAAAGAGAAAACGCAAGGCATCATCTTTATTAAACTGTTCCATACTTTATGATTTTCAATAATATATAAGCATAGATAATTTCTACTTGAAAATTTTCTACTTACATTCTGTATTCCAAAAATCATTGCTAACAAAGTAAGATCACACCTGTAGTTATGTGCTGTCACAACATTAGTGACATTGGCTTTCATACTGTTACTCAACAGCAATTTTCCGTATTTTAAGACACCGCTCTTCTGTTTTCGTATGAGACAATGCATCCACATATTTATTGGGAATACATACCTTTATTTAGAAGAAAAAATATTGCATCTAGGAAATGCCATTGGTGAAATAATAAAAATAAAAGTAAATAGTTCCAAGGATTTGCAGTTTATAGTAGTCTGTAATCTATTTCATCAGTCTGCATCAGTCACATTTCATTATGATCCACATTGTATTATAATAAATGACTCCAGTGATTTTCAACTTATAGCATCATAAGATATATTTCATAGGACTGTATTACTTGCACTGCATTATGATCTATGAGGTAATATAATATCTCCAGTTGTCATGTTATGGTTATGCTCCATATTGTTGGTAGTCAGAAATTGTAAAAAACATTAAAAAAGTATTACCAGAAGTCTTTCAAAATGTGAAATTTACTTTGGCACAAGAGGACAAGAAGTGATTTCTGTTCTGTGCAAATCCTGCTTCTCTCTACATGGGGGTAAATTTGACACACAAAAAAAGTCCAAGCATGATTTTGCCCCTATTGAAAGCATGGGCAATTTTACCATTGATGCAATGGGAGAAAAGTTACACATTTACACAGACTATAAGTTTAACTTTTTTGTTAGTATGTTAGGGTCAACAGAAATGAAAATATTTGGCCTGTTCACTAGCTGGCAGGTAGCCTTTGCATTCTAATGTCTGAACTGTAGCTCAACCCTCTGGCACATCCCTGAAATACACTTGAAAAATAAACAAAACAGATTGCTGCTGCTAAATAGTCTTCATGGTACTGAAAATACAGGTTACATTTCAAATCTGGGTGCTGACACCAGTGCTTAAATACTTAAAATAGGTATGTATATATGTCTGAACATCAAGCTATAGAACTAGATACCCTGGCTTATTAACACAACTTCAAAATTGGCTCTGGTTTATTATCCAAATCTGTGACTGTCAGTATACCCTGGATTATATTTTACAGAATATATTTTAAATGTAGAGAACATTTGCTACCAAACTGCTAATAACTGCATTGAAATAAATTGTTCATAGCTTTGAATTATACTGGAGATTTGTTGTGGTTAGCACCATCAATGGATAAACCACCGGCGTAATAGTCCTGGTACACACCCTAGCGGGAGATTCTAGCTCTCCTAAAGTCAATGGCAAAACTCCTTGGCTGCCTATAGATGTGCTTGTTCGCGTTCTAATTGGAACGCTCTAGCTTTGCCTTACCATCACATGTATTAAGTGCCCCCACATTTCAAAATGGCCACAGGAGCATTTTAACTAAACCTTGTCAAATGAGCTTTAGTTAAAGCAGACCCACAGCCACTTTGAAATGCAGGGGTGGGGCCGTGATGGTAAGCTGTTTTTATTAGAGTGGCTGTCTAGGCTCTCATTAAAATGCCCTCCTCTCAACTTAGAGCACTTGTATAGGCAGCCCTACAGACTTCCGTTGCCCAAGATTTCACCTAGGTTATGCAGTCTAAACTGTAACGAGATTTGACTTTCACTGGTGTATCATGCTTCAGTTTCAGCATGGGTAAACTGCATTAGTATGGGAGCGTCTACATGTGAAATTAATGCGAATGAATACGCTTCAACACATATCATGCTAGAGTCTTCACATGTGCCTAGGACAGCAGCATATTGAGCTTGGTTGGAGCAGCCCTGGCTGGCAGGGACCTGGGGGGTCAGCCTGCCAGCCCGGGGCTACTCTGACTTAGCTCAGCATGTTACAGAGGGGCTGGCTGAGGCATGAGGGTGCCCCAGTGTGGGGCTAGGTGGCAGGCCGCCCTGCACTGAAACACCCTCATGCCTCAGCCAGACCTGTCAGCGTCTACATGTGTATTGCTGTATATTAAAGAATGCCACTGCAGGATAATACTTGTATTTACAAGGACTAACCTGGGGTGAAGTTAGTTTCCCATTGCCTAATACAGTCACTCATGTAGATGCTGAGACTTTACTGCAGAGCTAATTAGGCAGCTGCGCAGTAAACATCTTGTGTTTTAGGTGGGAGCAGTATAATCTGTCTACAGATTATGTTTGTGCCGATTGAACTGCATTAGTATTTGGTTTAGACAAACATAAGTTTTTGTAGACAATATGTTATTTTCTTAGCCTACATGCCTCTTTGAACCAGTTAGCCTCTAAGGTGCCACCCTCCCCTGCCTTCTGTCTGACTTCAGGCTACCTACCTCTCTCTACATAGATATTTGCTAGCTGAAACCTCCAATATGATAAGATTGTAGAAGCTACAAATAAAATGTCATCTTTTAAATATTTGCTCTACTATATTCAGAATCCAGTGTTAATATTGTATTTTCAACAGATCTCAGATATACAAATAAGTGGGGGAAAAATTTGGTCCATGGTTCATTTGATTTCAGCTTACAACCTGCTCATTTGTATAACAGTATCACTAAGGATGTTGACACTGTCATAGGAAAAGGTTTTGTTACACTGAGCTTGTACTTCTTCATTTATATGTTTCTAGAATAAGAAGGCAATACTTAAAGGAGATATTTTAGTATCAGAATCTTAAAACCAGAGGCTATTTCCCACAAGTTTAAGTCAATTTTCATCTCTAAATTACAATATTAACTTGACAATTAATCAAAGAGCTAGATCTTAGGCTAAATATTTGGAAGATCACATCAATATGCTACAAAGTTAAGCAGAATCGTTTGTTGCTTGTATCTCAGAGCACTATACATAAGACATACAAAAACATTTAATTTATATTTATTATTGCAGTATTAATTAGTTCAAAAGTACATATATTTTTTTAAAAGATTTAGAAAACTATAGTCTATTACTAGCATAGTCTAAAATTTTAGCTGTAGAAACACACAGCTGTGTCTTACTGTCACCCTCACAAGTAAAATTGGAATGGCAGTTCAAGGATATATGAGCTTCTTTGATGCCTGCTTTGATTTCCAGTTTTTACAAAAGTGATGCCACCACTACTGACAGGCATTGTTCTCAATAATTTCCTTCCCAAAAAGAGCAGTCATTGCAGGTGTTTGTCTCATTCTTGTAATCAGAATATAGTGTTCCACATATCTCTGTTTGCACTGAATAGGCATCACTGGTAAATTTTACTGATGAGTTGTTTTATATGGGCCCACGGAGGATGGCAGAGGCAGAAGGGACACACACGGTAAAAATTTCAACTGTCATTCATATTACCCAGCAGTTATCACAGCAAAAAGATACCAGTCAAAACAAGAGGTACCAAAGAATTAGAGGTCTAAACACGCTAACAAAAACTTCATATATGTACCAAGTACCAGAGTAGCCACCAATTAACTTGTAAACAGTCAGCTTTGGTGATTTTTAATGCCAATCAGAAATCAACAGTAGACATTAATTGTCAATGAAACTTGCACATTAACAAAATTCAGGATTAATCATTATCGTAGATGCAATCTAAATAGGAAAGAAAATGCAAAGATGTTAGTATTCTCTAATAGTTTGTTACAAGCATAAAGTTACTTGCTTTAGCAATATAACACATAATGATTGCTATATTTGAAAAGTGCAACATACCATCAGCAATATCATCATAGATCTCTCCATCACTGAAAATTTAAAAAATAAAAATATATATTAATTAAAATTTGCAAGTAGGTATAAAATCAGGTCCTGAGGTATCAAATAGCTATCAAGTAATTGATTAGTTCATTTCCTAAAATACTTTTAAAATAGTTGGACAGAGAAGCATAGCTGGAGCTGCTTACAATTTTTTAAAACTTCAAACTGATTTTGATGTTTTTTCCAAAACAAGTTTAAGAAAAATGTAATTGGTTTAAAAAATGCCAACATTTCAGTACAAGCTTTAACCAAAGTAATATTTTCTTCCATGAAGACAAAACAATTACTGATTTTTTTAAAATCAAAAACTGGAAAGAGAAGTGAAGGTACTCAGTGGGTGCGTCTACAAGTGCTATTAATTCAAAGCAATAAACTTGGCTGCATATCTGACTGGCATTTATTGCTCCCAGGCATGGCATTTGAATGTGCACCCAGGATCACAGCATATTGAGCCAGGTCGGAGCAGCCCTGGCAGGCTAAACATGCTGCAGAGGGGCTGGCTGGAGCATGAGAGTGCTCCAGTGTGGGGCTAGCTGGCAGGGAGCCCCACACTGAAGCACCTTAATGCCCCATCCAGCTGCGTCAGCATCTACATGTGCGGTATTACCCTGCTGCGGAGTTTATTAGTTTTCTGCAGCCTAATAGGGCCACACATTTAGATACTAAGATGTTTACTGTGGAGCTAATTAGTCAATGTCTCCTGTAGATGTGCTCAGCATGTTCTTTGATACTTTCTGAAGATGCTAAGCAGTGTAATAATAATGGGACTGGAAGAACTGAAGAGATAATATCTATGGCCAAAGAGCATAGATGTTAAAAGCTATGGTGTATTTTAGTAAGTATGACAGAAGACTAGTGAGTATAGCAGAAGACCAGCTTGGCTTAGCAGGGAGTGCTTCAATAAACTAAATCACAAAAAGGAAGTATATAAGAAGTGGAAACTGGGACAAACAACTAGGGATGAGTATAAGAGCATTTCTCGGGTATGCAAGGATGAAGTCAGGAAGACCAAAGCACGACTGGAGTTGCAGCTAGCAAGGGATGTGAAGGGTAACAAGAAGAGTTTATACAAGTATATCAGTAACAAGAGGAAGATCAGGCTAAGTGTGGGTCCCCTACTGAATGGGAGAGGCAACCTAGTGATCCAGGGTACAGAAAAGGTGGAAGTACTCAATGCTTTCTTCACCTCAGTCTTCACAGGCCAGGTTAGCTCCCAGACTATTGCACCTGACAGCAAAGTTTGGGGAGGAAATGAGCAGTCAACAGTGGTAAAAGTACAGGTTAGGGACTATATAGAAAAACTGGACATATACAAGTCCATTGGGCTCTATGGGATGCACCCCAGGGTGCTGAGGGAGTTTGCTGATGTGATTGCAGAGCGGCTGGCCTTAATCTTTGAAACCTCATGGTAATTAGGAGAGATCCTAGATGATTGGAAAAGGGAAAATATAGAGCCCATATTTCAGAAAGGGAAAAAGGAGGATCCAGGGAACTACAAACTAGTCAGTCTCACCTCAGTCCCTAATTTTCTATGATTTTATGGTTTTCAAAACATGTTATTTATTTATGCACTTATTTAAGCTTGTAAATAGTTCCATTGTAGCTACTACTCACATGTCTAATATTAAGCAACTAAGTCAAGTATCTTTGCTCCCGGTCAGCCAGGCAACAGGGAGTGGGAGATCTTTGCTCCCTGCCCCCAGGAGCTGCCTGCTGCCAGAGTAGGCTCTGCCACCAGACAAGGTCCTCCAGCCCCAGCAGCAAGTAGCTCCTTGCCCCAGCTCTGCAAAGGGGATTGCAGAGCTGGGGTAAGGAGATTGTTCCCAGCCCCAGCTCCATGATGGTGATCACAGAGTGGAGGCAGGGGGCAAGGAAATTTTTCCCAGCCCTGCTCCATAATTGCCATCACAGAGTTGGGGCAGGGAACAATCTCCTGTCAGTTATCTCCTGGTCCCCTGCTCCCTGCCAGCCCCTAATACATTTATTTAATGTGTGGTTTAATAATAATTTATGAGCCATCTTTCAAATGATGGATTAACATATTTATTTTTTCTAGGCTCTGTGCTAAATTTGCGAACAAGAAATGCAGGAGCAGGTTCCCAGATAATTTCCAGCAAACACATATGTGACTATTCTTGAGATGTTTAAACTTCATAAAAATATTTCATGAGGAAATAAAAATCACATGGTGAGGTATTTATTTAAACTTCTACTTGCCTAATAAGCAGTTAAGGGCAAAAATGAACATAAGAATTCCTATGCTGGGTCAGGCCAATGCTCCATCTAGCCTATTATCCTGTCTCCAACAGGGGCAGGAACATATTATACCAAATGCCAAGATCACTATGTACTTACTTCTCAACTAAATTGCTTCTGAGGACATATCCATCTGCAAAATTAATAAAGTAAAAACATTTAATTTCAATTTGTACATTTACATTATATTAACATTATTTTTCTTTTTTTCTCAAAATAGCCATTTCAGTAGAAAAGGACATTTTTAAATACACAAGCTATTACAAGATAGTATACAATTGTATACAATTGCAATATGGAAGATAGGAAGATGTAGCCAAGGAGAATCTGGGATCATATTGTAATAATGTAACTGTTTAAGTTTTTAAAATAATTATTTGATTAGCACCATCAACACTATGGTGGCATCTTTAGGTATCTATAGGTTTAAATCACGCCTCTGTGTGCTAGTATATACAAGTCTACTCATGTTGCCATTCCTCTCATTTCACTCTAGTGAATTTCTGTTGCACACAACACTAAGGGTGTGATGAGCAAAGGGGAATCCCAAGTATACAGGATCAGTGTTTTATTGTTTAATTATTTAGTAGCAGATCTGTGAGGCAGGGTCTGATTGGACCACTTTTAACATAATTCACAAAACATCTCTCGGAGTTTCACAGCATTTTCTTTTATTGGATGTTTCAAGAAGATTGAACCCAAGCAGCCTTTGGTGGTAAAACTGCCCATTAACCCACAATGAGTCATTCAGAAGTTCCAGAGCATGTATATTTAGAGCTAGCATATGAACGCTTTAACAACCACCCCCAACCCTTCTGCCCCTACAAGAGCTATCCCATCAAAATAATTTGATGTTGACTTGAAGGAGCTTACCTAATAATTAAGATATCTATACCATATAGCTATAGCTACTTGATTAAATAAGGCTTTCATTCTCACTGCTTACTTTAGGGATCCATACAGTTTGTCATCTTCATGGATTTTATATGAATATACCCTTCTTGTGTTTTGTATGCAATCAAGGTAATGTTTCTTGTAACTGGATTTGTATCATCAGATATTGTCATGTATGGTTAATTCAATCCAAATTAAACTAACTAATTATGTGATTCTCCCCAAGGACTGCATTGAATTGGGAACTACAAAAAGTTCTGGCATTTTCTCCTTAGTAACTGATCTTTAGTTGCTCCCAGATGCATGTGAATTACACATACAGAAGTCTAGATAAAGGAGATAAAGATAGCCTCAGGCAACTAATTTCCGATCATGATTTGAAATAAATATACATTCGGGGATATGTGAGTTCAAGATGTAGGTTCAGCTCTCAAAAGGGCTGCTTGCACATTGTGGATCCAGGTTTAGATTTTGAACACCACTGGAGTTTTAGGGATTTTAGATCTGTGGTTTTGTCATGGGTTTATTTTTAACAGAAGCCTGCTGAACAATTTCTAAGTGACTTGGTCTGCTTTATTGATTACAGTTATACTTTCAGTGAGTCTATGCCCTAGTTAATGAGCCATTACATTGGTTGTAAGCAAGGCAAAGTTATTTTGTTTCTCTGTAATTTTATGAAGACTTCTCTGAAGTAAACTTTGGCTTCCCCCTGACTATTTTCTTCCTAAATCAAGAGTGTAGCTTAGTCTTGCCGTTTCATCAATATTTTCAGGATATGTTTTTCTGGTTAGCTGGACCTGGCAGCTTTTTGGTTTAAATTCCTTTTCCTGATCACTACCAATGCTATCGGATGTACCAAACACTCAGACACACATCCAAATAGAAAAATATCAACAAAAACTGTAAACTAAAAAATAATCTTAACTTGGAAGATGAACGGGCAAAAGAGAAAGGAAGTATGTCACAGATGATAGTCACATCACTTAACACACTAGCGAAAGCTACTCAGTGATGGGTGCTGTAGAAGAATTTACACCAAATCAAAGAATGGAATAGAACAGAGTCTGCAACTCCATTTTATTTAATTTATGCAGTGTTTCTGTATCAGTTCTTTTATCTTCTTGGGTTGTGACTCCCCCTTGTACTTTGAGAAGGTATTACATACCAGAAGCAGACACTGGTTTTCTATTAGTTGTTTTGGTAGTGGTTCTTTCAAGCCAGTGTGCATGAAATCCCAAAGTTTATTATTTTCCCTAGGGGAGTTCTTTCCTTTCTTGTTTATTTTTCTTGATACATGAGATGTATTTAAAGTTTTAAAAACTCAGGAGTCTGTAGCAAAAAGAATCTGGTAGCTGACTCAGAGCTCTTCTTTATAATCCAGTTCCCCTGATGCTTGAAATGTTTCTCCACTATACTCTGCTACTCTACTGCAAGGACAAAACTTCACTAGCTAATCTTTGGCATGCTTCAATCCTGCAAAATCTTAGTCTCTATTGAGGTAAGAGAATATGCCCATCTCATATAAGGAAATCTTTGACACTGGCAGACTTTAGAGAACAAGTTATTGTGGCCCTGACACAACAAATCAATACGTAAATTATGTAACATTATTTAAAGAGAATTTATATCATGGGTCAGAACTGAACATTCCCTTAAGGGCAATAAAACTAATTTAATGTAATTATATAATGATTTGGATGCTATTAATATTTATGGGATCCTTTAGTCTCAATTTATTACTGTTACTAGTTAAAGGAATACAGTCACATTCTGGAATAATATTATTCTCAATTTAACAAATTTTCTGAAGTTGGAACACTAGAGGTTAGCAATGGCTTTACATGACTTATCAACAGGGATCCTGGTTTTCTCTGATCAAAAAAAAAAAATCCCTAATTTTTGTATTAAACAAGTAACCCAAAATCCACATTTTTCCATCATCAAAATGAAACGCCACTAATATATATATATCTATATATTATTATAGATTATCTATATTATCTATAAATATATATTAGTAGCGTCTCATTTTGATGATGGACAAATGTGGATTTTGGGGTCCGTTTTGAGATCCGAAAATTGGGGATGTTTTTGTCAGAGAAAACCAGGATCCCTGCTTATCAAGCAATGACAACTTCTCTGCAAAGAAGACATCATCAGTTCTTTTACTTAGCTTGGGTTCTCAGACTAAAATTAGAACAGACCTACTTTAAGAAAGGAACAAGAATTCTTGCTATTAAGAATATGGCTCATTTTTTCTACATATGTAATATTTGATTAAAGATATATTATGAAAAATACCTGTGCTTAATCTTCTCGATGTTGCTGTAGTCATGAAAGGCAGTTATTTAATTTCTACTGCAATTTGCCCATTAAAAAAATGTAATTGCAGGTATTTTGATACTGGACCAAAGGAGACCACCGTGAAGATTTAGTCATACATCTAATCCCATTGATTACATGAAAATCACATTAATTAAATGCTGTTTGATTTCTTAGTATATTCTTTTGCTGTTTCTGTTTCCTTCATTTTTATAATGAAGAATTTCACAGGAACAGAAAAGCAGGTTTTCTTATACGGATTTTGTGCCAGGTGCTATGGTGTTCACTAGATGTCTACGTCTACATAGCTATTCTGCCAAAAGTGTGCATCTCACCTCAGGAGTATAATCCTGTTCTAACTCAGGGAGGTGTATAGCTCTCCCACCCTCTCCCTGGGCAGCTTATTGCACCTCTGTGAGCCAATCCTATTCCACCATGGCAACAAACAGCCTCATTCTTTCCAGAGTACTACAGGCAGCCAATAGGAAATGTCAGGCTTCTGTATGAACTCTCACCCCTAAAGGTGCTTGATTTGGTGCTGCATATTATGTGCCTTCATTACATCAGGATACTTTTTGCCCAGTAGTCAAGTGGTTAGGACATTTACCCAGGTAGGTTATAGACCCCATTCATCCTGAGAAGTTTTAAGCCCACATATCCCAGTAAAGTGCCTTTGTCATTAGGCTATGCACTAGGTAGGGCTGAGGCAGCCTTCATCCCTCTTGTTGAAATGGTAACTATGTGGAAAGGAATAAGTGGGTGATGGGATGAGGACCGGCAGATGTCTTAAAGTTAGGATGAAGGCAGTTACAAAAATAGATACATTCATGGTTTTCTAGGACATGAGCAGGGTGGGTTAGAGTTGCACATAAAGACCTCTACTGCTTAAGGGAGGCAAAGAATCTGGGCTTTGTCTTCTTTTAACCCTCTTAACTCAGTGTCACAAAGCAGGGTCCCCAGGGGTGGCCGTGATGCCCCTGGCATCTCCACAACTGTGCAAGCTCCATCCTGAGGGTGCCCTTATCTCACCTCCCATGTCTTCTTAGTAAAATAAATCAGGAGGTTGCCCACAGGTCTTCACTTGGTCCCAGTCCACTGAACTTCACTTAAGATCACTGGCCTTTGAGCCCTTTCCCAGGCCTCCCTACAATATTTGTGCTGCACGGGGCACCTCAGGCCTTATGGGTCAATTGTGTGGCTCCAAACCTCCCCTCTACCATGCCCCATGGGTGTTATGCAGATGTTATACCCTCTGCTGGGGCCTACTCAGCCTCCACTCCTTTAATATAGCTAGGCCTTCTAGCCTAGACCCAATGCATTGGGCCTGGCTTTGAGAAACTAACTTTCATTAATCTCCTCTTGTCATCAGGCCCCTGGCCCTTATCTGCTGCACCCATCTGGCGTTGGGTTTTACACAACTGTGTGCCCCCTGGGGGCACTAATGAGACCTCCAACTCCCCTATTAGCTTCATCCCAACCCACCGGTTCAAACAATAACACAAACATCAGCCCCTGGGCTATAACATAACAACAACCATGAAGGCAAAACTCTGCCCCTCTAAGAGGGCAAACAACTTCCACCTTTAGGATAGCGTACCCCTTAGCCCTGGGTACCTTGTGAGCTCCTGGAGTCTTACTGCACTTGGAGGTAGCAAAGCAGTCAACACAATGTTTTGGGTAGCTCTCTTGTGCAGGAGCTCTTTCCCCTGGCAGTTGCCAGCATGGAAGTGACCCTGCCAGCACCAGCCCTGAGCTTACATGTTCCCTGGGTTCTGCCTTCTTCTGGTCAGCCTGCAGGTGCTGGCTAATTACTGTGTTAGCCTGTTACTCAGGCAACCTGCAGCTGTGGAGCTCTGTCTAGTCTGCAAGGTGCCTTTGCTAGGCTGGTTCTGCCATTAAAGGAGCAGGCACCCCCTTAGTGCCCTGGGACACTCAGCAGAGGCCAAGATTTTGCAGGATTGAAACCTGCTGAGGCCTTGGAGAAACTCTCCATTTTGAAACAAATCTCTCTTTCCTTCCTAAAGCAGACATATTTGCATGAAAGGATTTTCTCCACCTGCACAATAATACTCACAGCTGTAGTCATGCAACCCAATGGATGCCTGGGCTGCTATAATATAGTTTACATAATATCAGAATATAGGGGATTGTCAATATAACTGCTTTTAGTTGCCTCATGAAACAGGGGGTCCTGATTTGCAGTTATCCCAAGGCCTCTTGCTAGCACTCTGGTAACATAAAGGGACCTCAAAGTAGACATAAATTATACCTCCAAACATTCTGAGGTTCAGTTATATTGCTACATTTGACCCAAAGCAAGTTTAAGGGAATGGGGGGATTCCCATCAACTCCCACAAGCTGTGGATCTGGAACAGTGGAAGGGGACTTTAGCATAAATTAATAAATTAGGCCCATTTTATGTATTTCAGTGTACTTAATCTACATTCATAAGCTACAGTGAAATCGTTATGAAATTCCTCACCTGTTGTTCACTGAGGTGAGACATATACTATACGCAGTGTAACTTAATTGCTTGCAGCAACTAAAAATTTAATGGCAGAATTAATATGCAAAAAACTAACATGAAATGTCCTTAATATCTGATGCTTGCTGCTACAGATTTCAAAGGAATTTTATCGCAGTATGCTTGTCTCATTCTAAAATATTATTTATCATATAACTACTCTTGGCATGGCAAGTATGAAGGTTATTTCTCTAAAATTCTTGTCAGTATTGGCCATCTTCAGTTTGTTGTGAGGTAAGCATAAAAACAGTAAAAATTAAGTTGAATTTTTAAAAAGGCTAGAAAATTAGCAAGGTATTAAAATCTGATTTGGGATTCATAAAAAAAAAATCCAGTAGTATAATCATGTACTATAAGAAGTTACTGAACCGCATTATGTGCTGTATCCTGTACTATTCCACCAAAATCAACAGATAATACAAGTACTTGAAAGGCATGAAACCATCTCCACTAACATCAATAACAAAGCTGCTATAGACTTCAGTGGGGTAGGATCCAGCCTGGAGAGGCACTAATTAACGTGGAAGTTGACAGGTTTCTGTTCAGAGGTATTCAGTGAAGTTCTTTTTGTTTATTTGTCTTTTGTGCATAGCAAAGCAATAGCTCCTGTCATTGCTGAACCTGTCACGGGGATTTGAGGAATACATTACAGAACACTAACATCATCACAATTATTTTGTGTTTCTTTGTTATTCCTCTGCTTAAAAGAGAGTACAATGGAATTCACTCATTGAGAAGGGCCAAGCAAAGCCGCTCCACTGTTCGAAAGGCCTGCATGCAGCCACACTCAGGATCACCTCCCTACACCCTGGCACAAAGCCACTGAAATTCTGCCAGAAATGTCCAAATGCAGCTTTTTTTGGAGATGGAGTCTGCTGAAGGGGGAAATCCACTGCAAAGATTAAATCTACAATGGACAGCCAGAATAGAGGCAAGTGATAATACTAGGGAGGACGGATGATATTGGGCAGTGAGGGGAGGCTGAATTTAGCTCCTGCCACTTCACTACATTCTGTTCATTCTCTGTGAGATTGTTGTTGTACACTGTGTAGGAAATGGAGAGAGAGAAACAGGAAAAGCAAAACGAAGCAGAAAAACTAAACTGTCGCTACCCAAACCCCTTTTAAATAAAAAGAAAAAAAGATTGCTGACAAGGCACCTGTCTTGTCTATGTAGAGTGTAAGTGTAGGGCAGACAGTCTCTTACCAGTTTCTAACAAAAAATCTAAGAGATGATGATGATGACAAATATAATAAATCTATATGCTGTCATTCATTAAGTAAACAAAGAAAAAGTGATCATCAATCAATACTGAACATAACAAAGTACTTGGTGTCATAAGTGAAGTTATGCCATAAACTCATTCTCTACTTGCCAGTTCTGTCACTCTGTTCTACTCATTATTTTACTTACATTTTCCTTCCTCATTTCTACACAAGACCTTGGTATCATCTGTATTTTGTATAACTTCAACCGACTCCCCTGGCTTCACTTGTAAGTCTTTTGCTCCCCATTTTTTATTAGACAAATCCAGGGCAACAGTAGTGCAGTAAAGAACTCTAATATCACCTTCAAACTGCAAAAGGAAAATAAAGATGTTTAATACAAACATTATGCACAGTTTTTAGCTTTACTTTATATTGCAGTGTCTGAACCTTTAGGGTGCATCCTGATGAGTGCACATGTGCAGGAGTGCGTGTTTCCTGCAGCACAAATATTTGTCCCCAGGCACACCCCTGCACGTGCACTTCGGCGTGCTACAAAGTGACCTGGGTGGGGTAGGTGAGGCTGGGGGGTAGCACCTGTACTGGCCTCAACAACCTTACTTGGGGTTCTGGGGGGCCTCCCAGGGCAGCAGCAACACCAATCCATCTGCTTGGAGCCTGTCTGGTTAGGCTCCCTTTTTGGTGGTGCACGCAGCTGCCATGTGCTCAGTGCCACTTTTTCAGTGGTGTTTTTTTTTTTACATCAGGATCTTCTGGTGTCAAAAAAACTGCTGTGCTGCAAGTTAGCAGTGCAATTAACAGGTGCACATGCTTTGAAACACTGCAAAGCGCATGCTTGTTGGGATGTGCTCTTAGTGGCCGATTTTCAAAAAATTACATAAGGAATTATGTGTGCTATCCTGATCACTGCCTGTGACTGGCCTTTGCACATGCAAACACAACATTGCAGGTATAATTAGAGGATCAGTAGCGTAACTAGGGATGAGTGAGTAAGGATACAAGATTGGCAGCTGCTGCTACTTCCAGCCCAATCACCACGACTACCTCTTTGGCTGCCACCGCTACCCAGGGTGCAAAACCCTCTTGCACTCTTTCGGAGTGTAGTGGATACAACTGCGTTCCTAAGTGTTTGAACATCGGGACCTCTATGAATGCACTGTATACTGTATTTTATTTCAATAAGCATCATTTATGCTTGAGATTATTATTGACAAATTTATAATGGAAAACACTGTCTGGCAGAGGGTCAAAAATCACACAGGGCAAACTCCTACTGATACAAGGTATATCTAATTAAATCACTTCTTTCCCTATAGGCTGTTTTTCTCATGCAATTTGTAAGCTGTCTTTGAATAAATGTATTAACTACAAGATTTTTGCAATGAAATTTGGTCTTAGTGAATGGTACTGAATTGCGATCTCTGGAGAGCCAAATTCTCCTTCCAGCCAACAAACAAGTACAGCACAGGCGATGGCAATGCAAACTTTCCCACACTGTTTTCCAATGTGCTCCAGCTCTGAGCTGACTCAGTCCCCTCTGGAAGTCAGAGTATAAGCTCATTTTTTTGCTCATTCAGTCTGTGACCTCCTTGCCACTGGCACCATCAGTAAAGCTACTTATTTTATTCTATTTCTAGCCAGGTCATAGGCGTACAAAATACTGCAGAATTTGAGAAAGAGGATGCATTGTGCTTTCAGGCTCTTATAAGAGAACTAATCATTACTTTATTTTTTGTTGTGTAAGAGGAAAGTTTTTTACTGCATTTCAGTAAAGAAATCACACAGCTTTTGAGATTGGTTAAATGCCTAAATCTCACTTCAGCTATTAATCATATGCAACACCTCTTTAATACCAGTACTTTGGAATACAGTTGTCCCTTCAATATAATAATACAAGTTGTTATTCTGTATGAATTGCACTGTTGTTATTAACTCATGCCTAATGTGACCATATCAGAAATGAAGCAGAAGACCTGACATTTTAAAATGTAAAAATAGTAACATTTATTAGACATACATATTTCAGATTTTCTGATTTAGTCTACTTTGCCATTGACTTCACTGACATCAGGCAGGTCAATGCTGAACAATTAACCCACTTATCCTGCAGGTTTGGATGGAAGCACGCCTACATTTCTGAGCTAACCTTTGTTTCTAGGCCAACCACAGAAAGAGGAACATTTCCTTTGTGTTGCCAAAGGAGCACACGTTTTTAATAAATAGAACTTTAGATAGAATTATTTACTAATGTAATTTCTAAAGTTACATTTAGTGTTAACAAAAAGTGTCAAACGCATAATCAAAAGCTGCACTAAATCAGTTCACACAAAATATCCTTTATCCCAATATGAGCTGACACTGATTCATCATAAAGACATGGATAAACCATTTATGACTTCCAATACGCTAAGCAACTACAACCCCTGATTTTTTCAGGAAACAGAGGACCTCTCCATACTTCTGAATTTATTGAGCTGTTAGATTCTCTCAGTCATTTCCCTCATCTGCAAAAGTGTGGATAATGCAATTTTCTTATTTCTGAGGAGGGTTGTTAAGGGATTAATTAGCTAATGTTGCTTTGGCAGTTATTGAGGTGCCCGTTACTATTCTAGGTATTTGCTGACTCCGGGTATTCGAGCAACTTAAAACTGCTTAGTTGCTTTGCTTTTATTTTCAATTTAATTGTTAAGTACTGACTTAATGAATAAGGCCCAGACTCCCCCAGCCTTTCATTTGTTCAAAATGTCTTTACCTGCTATTGTTATCCCATTGATTTGAATGGGATTTCTTAGGACAGACTTTCCAAGATGCACATTTTTGTGGAATAAAAACAGAAGACTAGAGTTTATAAAGCTATGTTGAGTTAATATTCTTCCATTAAAACTATTCAAGCAATCACAAAAATGGAGTAATAAACCTTTCAGGGACAAAAGATCATTGCCAGATGTATGAATTATAAAATATACAATAGTTTTTTGTTTACATTCAAATTAGACCTACTTTAAACTTTTTTCTCAACTCTTTCTCCTCCTTTTCCACCCTTTTAGGCTTCTGTGCATCTTTCTCATCTGATTTGCCTCTTGCAGTTCTCCGTGACTTCTTAAATATTGTTGAACTGAAACACAAGGTCACAGATAGAACGCAATTAAGAGCATGTGATAATCTTTTAGATATTTCAATAAAATTGCATTTACCAATCATTTCCATTACAATATAATTTACACCAGGGTTGTCCAACTTCTAAGTGGCTAGTGACCACACACTAGTTGGACAGCCCTGTTTTAAACCTATAGTATTAATACAAGTGTTATTATTGTAGAATCCTAGAAAAATATAGCTGTAAGGGACTTCAGAACATCTAATTCAACTCACTGCTCAAAGCATGTTAGAATGAAGTTATATGTTACACTAACGAGAGGTGCTCAGTCCTTAGCCATGAGCCAGATTCAGCCTGCAGAGTCATGTAATTTGGCCTGTGGGACTCCCAAGGGGCCTGGAAACTTGGCAGCAGGGGAGCAGAGGCAATTAACACTACTACCCCTCCCCCACTACCAAATTTCCAAGCTCCATGTGGCTTAATCAGGGCCCACCTGGGCCAGCCCTGCATGGAGGGATTGGGTCCCATTCCCATGCAGTTGGATTAAGTAGGGGCCTGATAAAGCTACATAGAAATGGCCCAGTTGGGGCCCAATACTTCTGTGTGGGAATGGCCCAACCAGCACCTGGTGCTGCGCAGCTTCATTAACCCCGGTCAGGTTGTACCACATCAGACTTCTGCCCTGCGTAGCTGGATCAGACTCAGCTGGTCCATTTCTGTGTAGGTCCATTAGTCCCAGCTGGGCCACTACTGCATGCTGGATTGGGTTCAGTGATGGGATTCGGCCTGTAGACCAACCTGCCACCACTCATCCAGGCTGTAGGCCCAAAAGGTTGGTCAGTACTAACTTAGACCATTCTAAATCTAGGGAATATAAAGCAGTGTTAAAAAAGTTAGCAAATGCTGTAAGCAGTCATATGTTAAGGGTTTACCCAATTTCTTGCCTGCACAGCTCTGATTTGCCACCAGAGGGCTCACAAGCAGGGGTATGGTAGGAGCCAGGACTAAGGACTATCCCTGCTCTGGGTGGGAGGGAGAGGCTGGGAGTGGTACGTCCTGGGATGCTGAAGGCCTGCAGAGTGCAGACACAAGTGCAGCTCCCCTCTGTAACTGAGACTGCTTTGCAGGAAGCAATCTGAGTTACAAACAATCCCCGGGATCAAACAGAAGTTCACTTCCGGTTCCAGGGGGGAGAGGAATCTAGCTGCTGGCTGCAAGCTGTAGCTAGTTTCCTCTAGCAATGGTCCCTTCTCCCTGCAAGGCTGAAACATTTTCAGAATGTGAAGAGGGAAAGGGAGCAGAGGGAGCTTGTTTTAGGGGTTCCCCAGCTGGTGCTAGAGGGTGGGGTGGGTGAATTGGAGCACCCCACCTCAGGGGGCTCCAATACACCTGCCCCACCCTTCAGTGGGACTGAAAAAAACCCCAAACTAAACTCACTCTGCTCCCTTCCCTCCCCTCCATTCTGAAAACAGCTTGAGGCTGGGAGGCAGACACAAGTTACAGAAGAAACTCTGTTTTGAAATATCTTCATCTGACCCCTCATGCAATAAGGATTCAGATTTTCACTCAATCAGCCATTTTTAAGCTCTCTGCAGCTGCACACTTGTGTTTGGTCACAGCTATAGAAGGCTTTCAGTGGCTAGATCAGGTGAAAATTGTCACTTCTTTCTGTGCCCCAGATTGCTTATTTCATCTCCATACAGCAGAGTGCAGTTACCCAAATATATGCTTGGTAGCATGTCCTAGAGTTAACACTTGCCTAAAGTGATGTAATGTTGAGACACTCAGAGGGCACTTATCACAAGTTAACAAGCTTTAACATGTGGATGCTGATTTTTTTTTTTAAGTGTCCTTAGTATGGTCTAAGTGTAACATACAACTTCACCCTTACATGATATAGGCAGATTTCAAAGACATAAAATATAAGAATATTTTTGTTTTTCATTTTTATTGCATGGATGAGTTCTGATTTAATTGATCAAATATCCAAAATATGGAAAATTATTCCAAAGGTACTTCATGTTTAATATTCCTGTGATGCAGTATTTTTATTTACTCCTATGATTGAGAATTTTAGAATTACCAAAAACAGATCAGAAAAGTGAGACAAGCCATTTCAGAGCTCTGATCAGGATACTTACATACTCACTATACAACACAGTAGGCATGTCTACACGTGCAAAGGTTCCAGGGTGGGTTTAGTGTACAGTAAACCCACCCCGGGAAGGTGTCTATATGTGCGGGGAAGCAAAAGCAGGTTTGCTGCTCCTGGCAGCAGTTTGCTCCCACTCCCTCTGCCCCTGCAAAAGCCCCCTCAGCAGCCACAGGGAGCTCTAGGCTCTCCCTGGGTACTAGCTTAGGGCCTAGGTGGGGGCCAGGAGACAGCTGTCTCCTGGCAGGGGCTGGGAGATTGCTCCCTGGAGCTTCCTGCTGCTGGGGCAGGCTCTGCCACCAGAGCCTGAGCAGGGATAAAGGCAGGAGAGAGCTCCCATCCCCGACTCCACAATCATGGAGTGGAGGTTGGGAGATTCTTATCTCCCAGCCCTGGCTCCATGTTCAGGGAGCAGGGGCTGGGAAATTCTCCCAGCTTCCACTCCCCAGTCACAGAGATTCTTCCAGTTCCCACTTCCTGATCGTGGGGCCAGAGCTGAGAGAGAAGAATCTCTCCTTCGGCCGCTCCATGATCACAGTTGCAGAGTGGGGACTAGTAGCTCCTTGCTGCCAGGGCAGGGGGACATTGTTCGGACCCAGGTTCTGATGGAGGTGCGTCCCCCCAGCAGCAGGCAGCTCCTGGGGGCAGGGACCAGTCTCCTGACCCTTGCTGCCCAGCTGACCGGGAGCACATTAGCTTCCAGTGGGCCATCTACACATGCTGTACTACACGGTAATTACTCCCGAGTAAACTTGCTACTTGTATTTACAGGTAGCAAATTTACTTGCAATTAGAGCAAATTACTTTGCAGTAAATGTCTGCACATGTAGATGGTGATATTTACTGCATTGTGATTTGCTCTAGTCTTGAGTAAGGCAACCAGTGAGTAACAAACATCTCATTAGTGAGTTACTTGAATGGCCATGTGCCTGCTGCCACCGGGCAAACAATGGGATGCGGCACAGCCTGGCGGTGGCAGGCACATGACATCACGTGGCTTCTGAGGCAGTGGCAGTGGGGTGCAGAGCCCCAGCCCACAGCAGGCAGCCCGCCTTCACCCCATACACCAATCCAGGGGGCACATTCCCCCTGTCCTTCCCCCTGGGTGCATGCAGTGCCCGGAGACCCTGGACAAGCCGCCCAGGCTCCAACTGTCCCACCAACTGCCCCATTCACCCCAATCCCTGCCCCACTCCCTCCCTCACTGTTGGGGCCTTGATCTGTGCCCCCACCGCCCCTTTGCCTCCAGAGACTTACCTGCTGGGAGGGTGGGGGGTGTGTATACTCATCCCCCCCAAAATAATATGTTCTCCCTCTGCCTATGCCTAGAGGAGTTGTGGAAACCTCTTCCTTGCAATTTTTCAAGAGCAGGTTAGACAGAAACTTGGCCAGGATGGTTTGGCCAGGGACAATCTGGCCTGGATGAGATGACCCTGTGAGTTCCCTTCAAGCCTTACTTTCCTGTGATCCAATGAGAATCTTATCATTCCAGATAAGCAACACCACACATATGTACAGTAGAACCTGGATACTTGCAGGGTTTGGTTCTTACCCCTGATATTGGTGAGGGTTTGCAAACTAGCTGGGAGCCATATAGGGCCACAGCAAACAGCTGCACTGGTCTACTGGATGACCGAGCTGTTTCCTGTGGCTTTTATTTCAAAGGGCACTACTTCTCCAGTCAGTTGTCGAGGAGCGCTGATGGACTCCAGCTGAGTAGAGAAGTGCAGCCCTTTGAAGTGAAAACTGCAGCAAACAGCTGAGTGGCTCATCCTTAATTTAGCAACTTGCTGAAAATTAAATAGGTTGCAAAACATCTAGTTATGCATGATCTAGGTTCTCCTGCATATCCAAAATTCCAGGCTGAACTACATTGTTATTTCCATGTCTGTCACACAGTCTGCTTAATGCCATAGGGTTGTGGCAGAGACTGAATTCCCTAACTGCCCTTTCCTACTTCCCATGTGAAAAGCTGAGCTTCGATTCTGTATTCTGGAACCAGTAGAACCTCATAGACAGGTGAGGTGTGGGCATTCAACTAGACAGAAGCTTGGCAGGTCATGGGCTTTCCTTTGCAAGGGGATGCTAGAGTTCACCGTGTTTTTCTGGCTTCCTGACTAGGATGGTGAAGTGCATACTCTTTGGAGCTACACTTTAGGAAAGTCAGGTAGGGGGACCTGCCACATGCTGTTTATTTAGTAGTTCTCTCATCCAGCAGCACAATACATCTATACTTTAGTGTGCCCTGACTTCTGGACAGAACAATCCCATGCACCTCTACAGGCTGGGGGCTGACTGCGTGGGCAGTAACTCTGCAGAAAAGGACCTGGGGGAACAGTGTACAATAAGCTGAATATGAGCCAAAAGTATGAGGCATAATGGATTGCATTGGTAGGAGTGTTGCCATCAGATCAAGGGAAGTGATTCTTCCCCTCTATTCTGCACCAGTGAGGCCACATCTGGAGTACTGTGTCCAGTTTTGGGCCCCCACTACAGAAAGGATGTGGACAAATTGGAGAGAGTCCAGTGGAGGGCAACAAAAGTGGTGAGGACAAAAAGACCCCTAGTAACAGCAACAAACAAAGTAGATGCACCAAGTAATGTAACAACTTGCCACTCTCAAATATTTTGAACATGTTGCAGAATAACTATTTCTCCACCAAAAGAATCACTCTTATTTTCACTTGCCTGATTTCTACTGGTGGAGGAGGGAAGTCTGATGAATCCACATCATCATAAACATCACTGTCTCCCCCTGAATCTGAAATAGGAAGGTTCAAAGCAATAGTGAATTAACATGAAGTCCTGTGGAAATGAATTACAGTCTAAAGTTGAGGGTCAAAATGATAAGAACTAGCTGAAGTACTTGTATTTGTATCCATGTCTCATAATATGATAGGCAGTTTTGAATTTTGCACTGTCTACTGTGATTACCCTGAAATCAGCCAGTTTTTTCAGAATAAGACTCTCTATTATTAATAATAGGTATTCACCGATATTTTAATCTGCTTAGCAAGTTTTAGCACATGTTGGCTAATGCAGCAATCTTTAATCTTTGATTTAATTAGGTCATTTCCCACTGTGCCACCTAACAGTATATTTTTAGGGCTTGATTTTTACTTTATACTCAAGACAATTTACACCACTCGTTAACAGCATAAAGGTGCCTGAAAGCGGGAGTGAATCACATTTATGCTAATTTTAAGACCACTTTACATTGCCAGGGCAGTGGAAAGAGGCCTGAACATAAATAAAGAAAACACCTCTAAAATAGAACTTAGCTCTTTATTTCCTGTGATGATTCTTTAAGGTATTGACTTGATAAGTTTAACATCTAATACCTTATTCCAAAATTATAGAGCATGCTTTACGGTGAAAGTTCTGGTTCTAGGCAACAGCACCAACAGTTTTAAGAATTTGCTTAATATTCCACAGCGGGAACAATATTTACGTGTTTATTGTCTTAAAAAGATAGTTTTAAAAATAACCATGTAATTGCATACCTGAAAAAACCTTGCACTAAGTGTTTCTGCTTACCAGTATCTATTTATACTTTTTGATGAATAAAATATATGTGTGCAAAAATCATAAGCAGGAAGTTGTGATTCTTTATTAATGCTTTTTATAGAATAAAAATATCATTTGTATATTTTTATTGGTAGGCCAGGTCAGCCAAGTTATTTTGAAATTCATTTTCTGGATATGGTATAAACAAATTATTCAGTCTTTGCATCTCATGTTTCTGTTAATGTCACAACACAGAATATTTGCCTTGTTTTTTATATTCTTCCTTTAAATGATCTAACTGAGTACAACACTTCAAGAAACTGCAGTGTGGGTTTTTTAAATAAAATTATGCTGTAAGGAGTAATAAGAAAACAGAACAATGAAAAAATATATTTGATTATTACTCACCTTTTGCAAACTGCTTTGCTGAAGGAGTCATTCTGAAAAAAATATAATTGTATTAGAAGACTGTAATCAGATGCATTGCCTTAATTCAAGACATCAAGAGACAGTTCCTCACAGATGAGCTGCATTTCCAGACTATTTTGTACAGCTCCAGTGACACTAGGAATGATAGTAAACTGGCCACCTGATACAATGTTTTGGTCATAGTGTCAGGTAAATTCAGAACGAGCCTAGTAAAACCACCAATAGCTTGTCTACCATAGTTCCCTCATTACAGGTAAAAATAGGGGAGCTGCACAGGTCCTATGGCAAGGAGGAGTATTACCCAGAAATTGTAATTGACATGAAATCAATGACAATAAGACTAGATCAAAAAGATGTGACTTGTGGCTTCATCAAACATTACAGAATCAGTTAAGTTGCTCTTGAGAGCTGTAGGGGAATCTAAATAGAGGAGCAGGTGAAAGGAAGAGAACACCTTTGCCTTTTACTCAGATATTTCATATTTATGAGGCATCACAAGTAGATGCCAGTTACTCTGTGTTGCTTTGGAGATCCAAAGAAACTTAAGCTACTGCTGAGTTTACAGGAAAATCTTGTTACCAAGGAATCATAAAGTAGCTGGAATATACCAGTGCCTTTCACAGAAAAACTGTTTTAGTGAGTGGGCTCATGCAGTAAATGGATACAAGTTGTTAGCGCAGAATGATTATATTATGCAGCTGAAGAGAGAGGAGAGCAATATTTTTACATGATCTGCTTCTCTGAGATACAATTTGATTGGTGACTCATTAGGTTGCTATGAGAACATGTTAGTAGCACGTGATCAATACTGTATTAGAATTAGTTATAGTGCACTGTTTTCATGGCAGATTCTTACAAGGAACCTCCATTATCTTCTGATTCATTGACTTTGTCTTTCTCTCGTGCACCTTTCTTTTTGTCATCTTTGCCCTTTATCATCTTCAAAAGCCCCCAGGACCAGGAATCACTCTTTTCTTCATCCTGTGATACAGACCTTTGGAGTATGCATGCAATTATCATAATATAGAAAAAGATATTTTTTCAGTCAGGGCCATTTTTTAGTATTGGTTGATGCATGTAATTCTAATTCAGGAGAATTAGATACAAAACATGAGATGAAAATAGATACATTTTCTACAGCGTTGGTATTTAATAAAATTAAAATTAAAAATAGTATTAGAACAAGAGCCATTGGCTCTGCAAATAGTGAGAGCCACTGGCTCCATGCAGTGGAAAGATGTGCCTGAATTACATTCATTGTAGAACTGAGAACCAATTATATTGGTTGTACAAGCACACAAGATCTGAATGACTTATTTAGAAAAAAACTGAGGGTTATTAAGCACAAGTCTGCACTGAAGATCTCCCTGATAGCGCTGAAGCATGTATGGGGGGGGCAAAAGAAGAAGTCAACAAGTCCACTTCCCTCTTTTTTTAGACATCTTCCAGCTCCTCTAGGTTCATTCACTTACCAGGTCAGTTATTTGTATGCTGCTTGTATTTGTATGCAAGCCAGCATTCGAATTGTTTTATCCTCTATTACTGTTTTCTAAAGATAGTTCTATACAGCTGCAATTTTTAGGATGCCCATGGATATAACTTCTTATATTGATCCATTCTACATACTAATTATCCCATTCTCGAAAAGATTGTAAAACAACCTTGAAAAGAACTGTAGAGTTCAGTTCTTTCTTAGCTCTATTCATGCCCTTTTGATGTGGAGCCAGTTTACCTTTGGAATAGTTTAGTGGCATCTAGACGGATGACTTTTTTGAATCAATGGACCCATGCAAATTTACACTAATGATCTGATCAACTACTTGTTCAACGTTATCCCAAATGAAACTATAAAGACAAAACTGTGGTACAAAATTAAAATGGTCAAGTGATAAAAAGACTTGCCTAATGTTAACGTCTTCATCCTCCATTCCTTCATAAATTTCTTGCGTACTGGGAGGAGGTGGGAACATCACTTCAAAAAAATCAAACAGTGAAATAATCCATGAGTTCTTCAATTGTGTCATAGCCAGATATAAGCCAGTGGCCTGTCATAGGCACTGTTTTTCTGACATCTTTGCAAATACAGCGGGAAAAATCCTCAGCTGATGTAAATCAGCATAGCTTCTTTCTCAACAGAGCTATTTTGATTTATACCAATGGGGGAATCCAGCCCATGACATCTATATATAGTAACATCAGTAATAAGCAGTTGTACATTGAGATCAAATACGTTTATACAGTACTTGAAGAAAACAAGGACATTATTCTGATCAACTTGGTGGCATGATTTTTGCTTTTTTAATTTTAATATTTTGCATGCATCTCATGTGGGGGGTGGTACCAGTCAGCCATTCTTGGAGACTGATATCCTCTGTTCCTCCAGAGAGGAAGTAAATCCGAAGCAAGGGCAATGCAGTTTCTTCCCATTGGCCTCAGTGCTGACCTGTGGGCAGCACTCCTGGAGTGAAAGTGTAGTCCAGTCTCCAGTCCATTCTGATCTCTCTGCTCAGATTGTTAACTGACACCTATGCCTATTTTATATCATCTTCTTTCAACCAGGCAAGAAGGAATTTCATGCCTGATAATTGCTCTGTAAGCTGAGAGGATGATCTGATCTGAGCCTTTAGGATGAATGAGCAAGGCCACAGAAAAACAAATACTACATTTTAAATGTGGATTAGTTCTGTCAAGATGCTCTTAACAAGGAGAACCTATTGCATTAACACAGATTAGAATAGCAAAATGAGACTGGAACAACACGTCCCCCTGTATCCAGGGTTGAACATACTGATTCATCCAGGTGAAGTGAAAGTGTATTCTGTCAATGCTTGGTGTAGCTTGTCCTTTGCTATAGTATATTTAGCATACTAATAATGCCATTATTTAGAAATGGTTCAGATCTGCACCTGCAGGTAAACAACAAAGAAACAAAAACCAAAACAAAGACAACCTTCCCTCCTCCCCAGATGAATTAAAAGTAAAACTTACTTCCACTTCCACTTTGACCACCACTGGGAAAACATAAATTAAAAGAACTTTTAGAGTAAAAATATGCATTCATTGTATAACGATAAACACCATCACCCACCACTTTTCTGGTCAGTGTCCTAAATATGCCTTGCTTTAGCGCACATGGATTCAGGAGGGCTTCAAAGCAGTATAGCCAAATCATGCACCTAGGTGCTTAGATTTACATTCATGCATGTAAAATCCCACTTTGCATGCATAAATGCTGATATTTTAACGCCCAAATAAGTAATTTCTTTCTTTCCCATTGTCTTTCTTCAACCCAATTAATCACTCACAACTCAAAATGAGCTGCTCTGAGTAATGCACCAGAGAGTTCTTCGTCCCACTCAATCACTGACTAGTTTCTTACATAAGGAGAGAGAAACCCCACATAGATTTAGATACAATGCCAAATGCTTTCAGTTAACTTTTGGCGTGAAGTACAAGGTTCTCTCTCTAGAAAGGAATAATTCAAAAGGATTCTAAAGAAAACAGAAACACAGGACTAGTATCTGTAACTCTTTTGGATAATGTAAAAAATAAAGGGACTCAATATTTCGTAAAACAAACTATGATCCAAGTTTTCTGATTCCATGAGCTACTGCAGGTACTCCAAAGGCAATAATGTTTCATGCATTCACACAAACAAAACACTTGCCCTCTCAGCCTTTAAAATGTTGTTAATAATACGCTTCCAATAAGCACCATCTGCATTTGATGTTAAGAAAGAATGCCCTTTTATATTTATATTTTATATTTTATTGAGTATATAAAATTATAAATTATATAAAATGAAATAGATATTTGTATATTTTACAGGTATTTCATGTCCTCTACATTTTTGTTGACATCACTGGGACTGTTCTGGGAATAAATTGTCATAATCTGACCCTTAACACTTCACCAATGCATATGTGCACTTCAAGTTTAATCCCTGACTGTGTCATCTTCATAAGACAAAAGAGTAAATGAAATTTCTACAATACCCCTTAACTAGATTTTATCAAGAAGTACCTTTAGCTTCTAATGTCATGTTCTTGGTATTCTGAATGCTATATATGACTTCATCTTTCTAAGAGTGCAGCAGTACAAAGGTTCATAACAATTGAGAGCATCCCCTTTTCAAATGACAACCCTATTTTAAAAACATGTACTAAAATAAAACTTTCAATACATCAGTCTTGGGAAGTTATTAAAGAACTGAATCAATACCATGTAATTGCCTTGGCATTAATATTTCTTTGGCCAATTAATTTATTTTTATTGAGTTCTAATGTTGGTTTCAAAACATACTGATATAGAAGTCAGACATTTTGAATGATTCATGTTTATGAACTGGATATAATGCTGTAAAGAGCTGGACAAAATAAAAAATGTCAAACTATAGCTTGAAGAGTTTAATGAATCACAGTAGGATTCTAAAAGTAAATTTCAGCCTTCTACTCATACCAGAGGCCTGTACTGCACTATTTTAGAGGATATTACTTAAAATGTAGACTCTATTACTTTCTAAGTAATCCATTTTAATAACTGTAAATATATATGTATGCATTCACTGCTGGCTATTGAAAGCATATTTAATCCCTTAAATTGGGACTGTCACTTGTCATCATAAAAAGAAAAGTTCTACAATGTTTTTTTCAAGAAGGCACATAATGATGGAATTGACTCTGACCTAGAATAGTGAATATACTTAATCTCTGTTTGTGCTTGGTGTCAGACAGGCATGCAGTAGGGGAAGGTAGTATTGAGCTCCCCTGATTCAAAAACCAGTTTAGTCTACTGCTTAAAAATGATTTTCCTGAAGGCCTCCTTTTTAGGTCCAGTTGTGCAGAGCTTCTAGGGGATGTTCTGGCAACTGAAGATCAGCTGCACACGTTAGTCACCCAGCCACACTCCCTTTATCTCAGCCACATCTAAGGGTACAGACAGATGTAACAATTGAAGGGTTTCAACGTGAAATGTACTAGGAAACATTTTAAAAAGGAAAAAAAAAAATCAAAAAAAAAAAAAAAAAAAAAAAAAAAATCAGTGAGTGGACATACGTATGGCCCTTTGCTGCTTGCTGGCTTGAATGTTTCAAAATGCTGCATCCTCCTCTAGCAGCAGCCAGAGACAGGAAGTAGAATGGAAGGGAGAGTGTGGAGCCTGGAGGGGAGACGTAAATGGGATGGGGGAACTATAGGGGCTATGAAGCTCCACTTCTAGGAATCTGATACTCCAGACTTTACCTTTCCTCTCCCCTTCTCAATTGAATGAAGATGTCCTGGCTCTGGCTCTGTTGGCAGTAAGGCCCCTGGGAGTCAGCAGAGGTCTGGCAGGGGGACAATAGGTGCATCTAAATGAAATGCTTTACTAAATGAAGTAGTGTAGTTTACTGCACAGTAAGCATGAGTATCTACACGTGCACATGCTTGCTGTACAGTAAACCTTGCTAATCACAACTAAATTTGCTACCTGCAAATGTAAGTAGCAAATTTACTTGTGGGTAGTTACTGTGCAGCAGTGCTCATGTGGACATGTGACCAGAAGCAAATCTTCTCCTGGTCAGTTGGCCATCAGGGTGTGAGAGATTGCTCCCTGCCTCCAGGAGCTTCCTGCTGCAGGGGTGGGCTCTGCCACTGGAGCCCAGACAGGGACTATGTCCCCCCTGCCCTGGCAGCAGGGAACTCCATGGCTGCCTCCCCCCTGCCCCCCCCCCCCCCCC